AGGAGCTATGTGATCAAGATGGTGGATCTGTGCTGCTAGGAAACAACAAATCTTGCAAAATTGTAGGTATTGGATCTGTAAGATTCAAGCTCCATGATGATTCAATAAGGTTATTGGCTGAAGTCAAGTATGTACCTGACTTGAAGAGAAATTTGATTTTTCTTGATGAATTCGGCAGAAAGGGATATGTTTTTCAAGGACAAAAAAGTATCCTAAGAGTCATGAAGGGGTCGAAGGAAGTCTTAAGAGGCGTGAAGAAACAAGGCTTGTATACCCTTGAGGTTGAGTTTGTAAGTGGTTCAACAAATTTTGCATCCACAAACCCTATGTCGAAGACAAAATTATAGCACATGAGATTGGTCCATGTCAGCGAAAGAGGCCTGGTCGAATTGGGGAAGCAGAACCTGCTAGGAGGTGACAAAGTTGAAAAGTTGGAGTTTTGTGAATCTTGTGTATTTGGTAAATCCTGTAGAGCAAAGTTTAACAAAGGCAAGCAAAGAACACATGGGTCCCTGGATTACATTCATGCTGATCTTTGGGGGCCTGCAAGGAATCCTTCACACTCAGGTGCAAGGTATTCGTTGATGACTATTCTAGAAAGCTACGGATATTCATTCAGAAGACGAAGGATGAAACTTTTGAGAATTTCAAAAGTTGGAAGATTCTGGTCAAAACTCAAACTGGCAGAAAGGTAAAGAGGTTGAGAACCGAAAATGGCCTTAAATTCTACAACAAAGTATTCGAAAATTACTGTGTTGAGTCTGGGATTGCAAGGCATAAGACTGTAGCAAGTACTCCTCAACAAAATGGCTTAGTTGGGAGATTCAATCAAACTATCCTTGAAAGGGTTAGATGCATGTTGGTTAGTGCTGGATTGACGAAGGTATTTTGAGCGGAAGCTGTTTTGATAGTAGCTTACATGATAAATAAATGTCCCTCGACTGCCTTGGGAATGAAGACACCTGAAAAATTTTGGTCGACACATCCACCTAGTCCCGACAGACTGAGAGTATTTGGCTGTGTGGCCTATGCTCATATTTGGCAAGACAAGGTCGAACCTAGAGCTCTGAAATGCATGTTCATGGGATACCCTGAAGGAGTCAAAGCTTATAGGCTATGGTGCCTAGAGCCAGGTCACAAGAGGTGTATCACCAGTTGAGATGTAAATTTCAATGAAGCAGAGATGACTTTCAAGAAAAATGATAATGTTGACGAAGAGCTGGAACAGGGAGAGATTCCTGTTGAGGTGGAGCATGTTAATACTGAATTGCGTATACCAGATGAAGTCGAAGAAGATGCAGAAGATGTTGTTGAAGATGAGGAGACTGATAATGACTACCTGCTAGGAAGAGACAGGTCGAAGAGATTCATCAAGACACCTCAGAGACTTGGGTATGCAGATCTTATAGCTTATACCTTAATCTTTGCAACTGAGGTTCTAGACGAAGAACCTAGAGACTATAATGAAGTTATGAGGAGTCGAAAGAAGACTGAATGGCTGAAGGCCATGGATGATAAGATGAAATCGCTTCACGATAACAACACATGGGAACTGATCAAGAAACCTGTTGGAGCCAGGTTAGTCAACTGTAAATGGATTTTCAAAGTTAAGGAAGGAATTGAAGGATTGGCGTCTAAGAGATACAAGGCAAGATTAGTTGCTAGGGGGTCCACTCCGAAAGAAGGTGTCAACTTCAATGATATATTCTCTCCTGCTATGAAGCATATATCCATTTGAATGTTGCTTGCTGCAGTGGAACAATTCGATATTGAACTGGAACAGATGGATGTGAAGACTGCGTTCTTGTATGGTGACTTAGATGAAACAATCCTGATGAGGCAACCTGAAGGGTATGTCGAAAAAGGGAAGGAAGATTATGTGCGCAAGCTGAATAGATCCTTATATGGACTGAAACAATCTCCTCGACAGTGAAATAGAAGATTCGATAAGTTCATGTCATGCATAAGTTTCATCAGAAGTCAGTTCGATCACTGTGTTTACTTCAGATTTCGACCGGGTAATTCATTTGTTATTTTGTTGCTCTATGTGGATAATATTCTAATAGCAAGCAACAATGTCGAAGAGGTGAGGAGGGTGAAGGCTGAACTCAATAAGGAGTTCGACATGAAGGATCTGGGAGACGCGTCCAGGATTCTTGGGATTGACATTCGAAGAGATAGAAAACAGTCAAGATTATGCTTATCTTAAGAGGCATACCTACGGAAGATTCTCGAAAAGTATGGTATGTCAAATTCAAAGCCTGTTGTGACTCCGACAAACCCTCAATTCAAGTTGAGTATAGATTAGTGTCTCAACATTGATGTTGAAATAACTTATATGAATAGTATTTCATATGCTAATATATTGGGTTTTTTGATGTATGTTATGGTTTATACTAGACCTGACATAACATATGCAGTAAGCCTTGTAAGCAGGTACATGGTGAATCCTAGAAAGACTCACTAGCAAGCATTGAAGTGGATTCTAAGGTACATAAATGGGTCTCTGAATAGAGTCCTAATTTATGGTGGAGCCTTGGGTGAAGATAGTAAAGCAGAAATCGAAGGATATGCTAACTCTGATTATGCAGGTTGTATGGATTCTAGAAAATCTATTTTTGGATATGTGTTCACTATGTTTAGGACAGGAATCAGTTGGAAAGCAACACTTCAGAAGGTCGTTGTCTTATCAACCACTGAAGCATAATATATCTCCCTAACTGAAGCTGTGAAGGAAGCATTATGGTTTGAAGGTTTTGCAAAAGAGCTAAAACTTCAAGGTTGAGTTATCACTATTAAATGTGATAGTCAAAGTGCAATACACCTGTCGAAGAATTCATCCTATCATGAGCGAACCAAGCACATTGATGTGAGGATGCATTTCGTCAGAGGGGTAATCGAGTCTGGAGAAGTTCAAGTACTGAAGGTTTCGACAGAACATAATGCTGCTGATATGATCACCAAGACGTTGCCCAGTTGCAAGTTTTTCCACTGTATGCAGTTGATAAAGCTGCATGAAGAAAGCTAGTCCCTTGATGTTATAGAGTTAGATCCAAGGTGGAGATTTGTGAGATATTGGATCGAACTCTAGTATGATCGAAGGATAACTTCTGGTTTGATAGGAATTAAGCATAAGGTCGAAGTATGTTCGCATGCTGCTGTCAAAGATAATGCGTGTTGTAGTTGAAGTTTGTTCTAACATGCATTAGTCAATATTGCTAGGTTGTTAGAATATTGGATTGGGTCTTGCTTGTAGCCTAAGTGTTTAAGTTAGATTTACCCTAAGTTAGCTTGTAATGGGTAATTGTTAAAAAGTCCATTAGGTTAGTGTGCTATTTTTCTTATAAATAGGATGCTAGTTTCTCAATCTTTGCATAAGAAAAAATAGGAAGATAAAATCCTAATTTCAAGTGAGAGAGGTTATTTCGTTATTCTTGTATACTTGTAATCTTGTTCTAAGAGAAAGGAAAGAATAACGGTTTATAACCAATCCTTGTTGTTCCTTGTTGTTTTACCTTTTTTTTTTTGTTAGCACTAACTCTTGTGTATTTCTTGATCATAAAGAAACCATTTTATACTTTGTTCAAGGTATCCAATTCACAACGCCCAGCATTAACAGCACCCCTCTAGTGCCTTCTAACTCACATTTTTTTACTCAAACTTCCAACTGTACATTTTCCTCCAGCACCAAACTCAATACCACTAGTGGGCCACATCCTATTTCTTTTTTGGATCTTGAGGACAAGGTTTTCATTGGACCCGAGAGTATTGATACGTTTAAACCCATGTGGACTAGAAGAAAACTCATGTGGTTGGAGGATTGCATTCATTATTAGAGAGGTGTATTAGAAATTTTAAAATATCACTTAATTTTTAGTTATTTCCTTCAAGTGGCCCAGATTCATTGTTATTTCTATTAACTTTACTATTTAAGCTGCTGTAATAGACTGAAGTGGTAATGAGAAAATTATTCAAATTATTTCATGTTGTCTCTTTTGTAGTTAGAATTGTATTATAACCATAACAAAGATCTATCACTTTAGCAATATTGGCACTTCAAACTCCGAATGAACCACAAAATCTTACTGTGCATAATCTAAAAAGGAAGAGGTTGTAGCAACCTTGTGTATCTATGATACTTAAGATGTAGCTATCAATTTATTCAAACAGTAATATTTTGTTTTATGAAGAAGAAGAAAAATATTTGTTGGTTGACGACAAGTCACTAGGCATGCAATAGTGTTATGAGAAGAGAAGTAAATTGACATCAGATCATGAAACAAAATTATGTTTTGATTGTTTTATTACAAACTTCATTCAACTTTATAATTTATGTCTTCAATGTTCTAAACTATTTTTTTTCTTCTTCACAAAACAAAATATGTACTTGTGAAAAGATAAATTTTTTAAGAATTTTTACATTTCACACTTAATCATGTTGTAGATCTCAACAGTCAAATCAAGATCATTCCATCTATGTTCTGAAATCTGAATCCATATTTTAGAATCATATCAGAAAGTTGAGTACTAACTCTACATTGGATTCAAATCAAATTCAAATAGTTAAGATACATGTGAGTGTGACAGTGCACTTTTGTGAATGACATGCAAGAAAGTGTGTGGTCCACAAAAAATCACAATACAGCCTTCACGTGATTGATAAAGTTCAATAATGTTCACCAAAATTAATACTTAGTTTAACAATAATGATACAATTCAGTTCCACTAACTAATCATCATACATGTTCTACTCCAATTCTCTCAACTCCAATAATTATATATCCAAAATAAAAATTACAAACCATGCGTTGCATAAATTTAACGATGACAAGCACAATCACTAAATGAAAGTTCCTCAAATTTACTTAACATAAAAAGTTTGTAAATAAGACTTACCACATTATTACAATGACACACATCTCATAACATAATAATCTCAGACTGTGATTTCGATAAGATTACTATAGTTCCAATGCAAGTAGTACTAGTATGGCTTGAACCTACGAGCATTGGAAACCAGAAGGAACAGATTTTTGACAAGCACTAAGTAAGAGACTGAGTGTGACAGGAACATTCAAGTTGATACCAAGAACATTAGCCTTAATTGCAGTACAAAGACAAAGTGCTGCTTCTAGATCAGCCAAACCTTGAATCAATGCACAACATTTGCTTGAAGCAGGTGTTCCAATAACAACATTAACAAGTCCTAGAACATCAGCACAAACACCTAGCTTTAAGGTGTCCTTTGGGCATTTTTGTGATTTTGAAGGAGGAGGGCTAGCCTTAGGTGTTGGTGGTTTGCATGAACCACAAGCATGTGAAAATGTTGAGTAAGAAAGAAGAGAAAACAGTATAATGAGTGCACTAAGCTTGTTGGAAGCCATTGGTGTGAAATGTAGACTAATGTGTTGTTTTGTGTGTTTTGATGTTGAATATTATAGGATGAGAAGGACCATTTATAAAGACAAGGTTTTGTGAGGTTCAATCATGTGGAAATCTGATCGAGTGGAAGCGAGTGTGATATTGATAACGTTCCAGTTGGATTTTTTGTAAGCTTGTGAAATAATGGTTTCATATGTTATGGGGGTGTTAAAAGACTGAATTTCTACTACCTATAGAAATTGGTTAACTTTCTCTCCATTTCAAAGTTATTGATTGAAGTTGTTTAGAAAGATTTGGTTGTAAGCAATTTATTGTACAAAATGTCTAGAACATGTTATGTGAAATTTTGGCACGTAGACTGTTTTTACTGCACGTTCGTTTTAGCATTTGGTTAGAAAACTTGTATTACTTCACCTATTTTAGATTTGGTACTTAGTTGCGTTCCTAGATTGTGAATGTTGCTCTGGTTTTCTTTTTCATCCCTTTACCAAATTGTGGCAAAAATGGAAGTAATGGTGTGTATGTGTTACTGTTGCTGAAATGGACGTTGTTCTGATGGGCTTGTTGAGCTGTAGCTCACGTGCTAGAGCATCTGGCATTCAACTATTAGCATGCATCTTTTTGTGCATGCATGATTGATTGTGTGCCTGACTATTGAAGGGAGCATTGTGATTTTGTTTTGAGTGCATAGCAACCACCATATTTATGTGCTACTTATCTTGCAGTTGTTTGCTCTGTTTGTTCTATTTGTGGTGTGCTTATGATACTCAGATTGTGTTATTTTTCAAGATTTTCTCATACACGTTTTGTAAGTTTTGCAAGAGTTTATTTTACCAAAATTTGCCAAAGGAGGAGATTGTTGTTCCTTTTGATATGTTGTATTATGCAAAATAACACGTAGTGTACAAGATGTTTTAGTGAAAAAAATAACACATGTGGGACACGATGTTTCAACATATATGCAACATCTAACCTTTGTCAACAAGTCATAGTTGTTGTTGTTCTAAGCAAAAATTCTGGTTGTGTTTTAATCAGATTTGTTACTATCATTTAGCACTGTTTTAATTAGATTTGTTTGACAAATTATATAAGATTAAATCTAATTATTTATAGATTTAAATTTGAAATAAAACAAATCAAATCATTTTGTTGGAGGTTTTTGAAAAACAAATCAAAACAGAATCATCTACAAATCTGGACGTGATCAAATCTTATGCCCATTAGAGAAATGTCTAGAAGTTGCATTGCTATTTAAGAAGACTCAAACCTAATGTTTAGAGGGTGTGCAAGTATTAAAGATCTTTGTGTTAGGGTTTCTATTTTGAGTCTTTTGTTTGTTTTATTGTTTGTGCATCACTCTAGTGCCTCCATTCATATTCAAAGGAATAGAGTTTGGTTTGATAGTTCAGTTGTAATTCAAACAATCAACATTCTATTTATTATATTGATCACTAGGGTTAGTGATTGAGAGAAAGTAAGAGGGGTCTCATACTGATTAAATTGAGAAGCGGGGTATTGAACAAGGATTGTTCATCTAAGACACTTTGTACTAGTTCTATTGAGAATGATTTCCTTTCTTGGGTTGGAAGTCCCCTATGTGGTGTTGAACCGAACTAGATTAATAATTCTTTGTGTTCTTTATATGCTTTATGATTTATCTTCTTGTTTTGTATTATCTATCAATTCTGGTGTAAGATGTTGAACACAATGACTTAGACATATGAGTTAACATTTGTTCTTGTTTAGAACATAATTTCAATTGGCATCAGAGCAAGCATCCTATTCTCTTTGGGTGTGTTCCAGGGTTCTTATTATATTCAAGGTGGAGAATTTCAAAGGAGGAGGAGTTCATTAACCAAAGATTCTTTATGATATTAAGAATCCTTCAAAGAATAGAAATGAAGACAATTATGAAAATTGTGTAGACCAAGTAGATTATGATACTTAAGAAAATCTCAGGCTTGCTAAGATCTTTAGGGAAGTCATGAGAAAATTAGATATGAGATATGGGAATAATGTCTCTACAAATGTTTAAGATAATCAACAACACAATTTTAAGAGGTGTAACTTTCACCGTAAAGGAATAGATGGTGTATATATCAACTAGATCCAATGTCTTGAATGCAAAGACTTTGGACATATTAAAACTTAATGATCAAGTTTTCCAAGGAATTAAAGAAAAATATATAATTTCGCTAATGATGGGGAAGGTGAATCTAATCAAGCAAACATTGTTGTGACTTTCACTACACACATCAGAGACATGAAAGGAGCTATATATACTAATGAACCATCACGTTCAAAGAATATGTATGTTACTCCTTTTCAGAAAATAGAATGCACAATGTTAAGTAAAATGTTTCAACATCGTGTCAAACATCATTACTAGTGCATTAATTTGTTATACTCCATTCCTTTGTGCAATTGTAAACTGTGTGGTAGACAACCACATCATTAAAATATGTATTCCTAGTTGAATGAGAAGTATCATAGACAATCATCAACAAGTTTGGTGTGAAAACTTAATATTCTTATTCATAGTGCTTGTACCTTCCACAAGAATGTTGTAGGAAATGTTCCTGACATCATGGATGAATTTTTTTATACAAAAACTAAGTTATGGCACAAAAAGCTTGGGAGTACAAGGAACTTTATTGCAAAGGAATCTGTTATATGTATTTCTAGTCTCAAAATTGAAGAAGGTAAAAGTTAGACATGTATCAAGTTGGAAAGTAAACCAATATGTTATATAAGATGTTTCAACATCTTACTCGCGTTTCTGAATTACCACTTATGGACTTTATGAGACTCATGCAAGGAATTTTCATTGAAGGGAAAACTGATCGTTAGGTCAGAGGTCCTCTCAACATTGAACAACCAACCGTGGTTCAAAAGAAGAAGCTAAAAAATATTAATGATTATGGAGTAATTATTCCTATTGGGGTTCTTCTTAGTGTGTTGAATTTTAGTTATAAGTTGTATGTAAGGAAACACGTTCTAGACATTGTTCCTCACAATATTCCATATTTTGACAAGTCTGGTCTGGATGTTGGTAAAAACGTTCTTGATGTCCAACTCATGTATGAACCTGTAAGAAACTATCCTCTCATTCAAAAAAATCTTGCTGTTGAGACCTAGAAAAATCAAGATGTTGATAAAGATGTGCCAGACATCCTGTCCAACATGTGGGAAATAGGGTCTCAAATTCATAAATAGAATAATCATGTGACCCCTGAGAATAGTTTTGTGAGTGGTGATGATCATGTCAATCAAGATATTGAGGTTTATATTATTGTATCCCATGTTGATGTTGTTAATAAAAATAAAAATAAAAGAAAATTTGTATCAAAAAGAAAAAAGGCTCGTGCTCTAGAAGATGTAAAGGAAGATCTTAATGACAACTTGAATGACATAGAGGTGCATATGAACACGAAAAGTAATGGGAGTATTACTAGAAAGAATGGAAAACTTGTATAACATTACCATTCCCAAATCTAAAGGGTTGACTTTGACGAATCTTCTAATCCTATTGATAATCTTGAAGCCATTAGAATGTTTCTAGGTCAGCCTTGTAGTTTTATGTTCGCAATTTATCAGATGGATGTGAAAAGTGTCTTCATCAATAGATACATGAATGTGGAAGTCAATCAAGATGTTAGTAATGATGTCACTAACATGGGTGGTGTCATTGAGAAGGATGATTATATGTAAGTCTGCAAGGATGCTAGTACTAATGTCAACAACATCTCTGCAACTTCCTCTGCAAAGTTCTAGGGTCAATATAAAGGATGTTAAGACCAAGGAAATTTTTGAATAATTATGGCATTTCAAAAAGGACATCTAATAAAAGGAATGAAAAATATGTTGTAGTTATGAAAGCTCATGAAGTTTGTATGAAAGGCAAAACAGTTAAAGAAAAGGCCAGTGGTGTTTCTTCTCTTGTCAAGCCTAAGGATTCTCAAGATGGTAATGAAGATCTGAACTAGGATGTGCCAGAAAATATATATGACATGTTGGTGATTGAGTTTCCAAATCATAGGAAGGATTAGCAAGTTACCAAGCTTAATGAACAAGATGGGGTAATCAATGTTGTATCCCTTCAAATGATTGTACCAGTTGACGTTCCAAATACAAGAGCTTATGATAGTGAGGTTAAGAAGGACAGTGCTCCAAAAGGAAAGTTTGTGGAAATTAAAGTTGTTGACAAGAAGTATCTAAAGAGAAAGCTTGTACACTCAAGTGACTCTGAGACAGATGTTGAAGAATATGTCCAAGACATTGTACACACTGTAAGGAGAAAGGTTGGTGGAAAGAGAATTCCCGTGAATATCCCTTCTACTCTCATGGATAATGTTTCATTTCATTCTGAAACAAGTGTTTAGAAGTGGACGTATGTTTTCCAAAGAAGGAATTCTTGTGAAAGATAGCTAGGAACTATTGATTGTAAAGAGATTATGAAGTTGCTGAAAGTAGATGGGTTAATGAAAATTGTAACTGATGTTGGTACTTGCTATGAAGATCCAGTCAAGGAATTTATTGTGAACATTATGTTGAAAAGTATATTTCCGGCAAATATTTTTAATATCGTATCCACAGAGATTGGTGTTATTACCGCCGTTCTATAATTTTGATTGTTGTAAGTTCAAAGGTATTCAAATTGTTTCTTGATGAATAAATTGTTCTTTTTACTTATAAGAAAAATAGGACAATAAAAATGGTTTTAGAATAAAGTTTAGAAGCCTTGTCAAGATTGAGTTTCATTATCTTTGTTGGTTATATGTTCTCAATATCACATGCATGCATTCAAACTCCATTGATAGTATTCAAGTGTCCTCTCTATAATGTTTATGTCTAAATAAGATTGTGACAATTATTATATAAATCCTTAGACGATCTCTCCATCTAACTATTGATATAATAATCTTGAATGTTTAACACAAATAGAAAAGTAGTGAATAAATCTATCTCTACAATTTATTCTCTACTTGAAAAAATATCTTAG